CCCCCACCGTTGTTTGGTACAGAGATAGACAAAGCCTTTCAAAAATTCCTATCGATCCTCCCAGGGCCCCAGGCAGATTCGTGTTTGCGGCACGAGGTCAGAGTCCCGCTGCATGGCCCCGCCTGGGGCTCTCCAGGTCTCCCAGAGCCACTTGTTGAGAGACTGTCCTTTCTCCATTGGATGGTGTTGGCACCCTTGTTGCAAACCAGTACACGTGAGGGTTTATTTCTGGGCGCTCTGTTCTATTCTGGTCCGTATGTCTTCATTACTGTAGCTTTGGAGTATATTTTGAAATCAGGACGTGTGAGTCCTTCAATGCTGTTCTTCCTTTTCGGGGTTCTTTTTGGCCCTTCCGGGACCCATGAGAGTGTGCGCGAGTTTTAGAGAGGCTTTATTTCGGCACCACGTGCCGGCGGGCTTTCGATAGGGATTGCAGTGCGTCTGTAGATCACTTTTGGGAGTATTCGCATCGTAACAGTATTAAGTATTCCAGCCCACGAACACACGATGTTTTCCCCATTTCTGTCTCCTGGATAGTTTTATATCAATATTTTGTAGTTTTTCATGCCCAGGTCTTCTGCCTCCTTGGCTAATTTTTTTTCCTAATTATTTTATTATTCCCGGTGCTATCCTAAATGGAGTTTTTAAAAAAATTTCCTTTTCAGGTTGAGTGTGTGGGAAGCCCAGCTGATTTTTGCCTGTTGATTTTGTATCCTGTAACTTCGCTGGATTTATTAGCTCTAATTGCATGCGTGTGTTGTAATTTTTAGCGTTTTCTACAGATAAGATTATGTCATCTGTGAACAGAGATACTTTTAGTTCTTCCTTTCCAATTTGGAGACTTTTTATGACTTTATCTTGCCTCATTTCTCTGGCTAGCACTTTCGATACTATGTTGCACAGAAGTGGCAAAAGCAAGCTTCCGGGCCTTGTTCCTGATAGGAGGGGAAAAGCTTTCACCTTTCATCTGGGTGTGAGGTTAGCTTTGGGCTCGATACATTTTATTAGAGACCAGAGTTAATGGAGCCCCGTTCCTCTGTCTGACTTGTCCCGCAGGGAACGGCTCAACAGGGCTTACGAGACGTGTATTTTCCTGGCTGAGAAGCAATCTCATTTGGCAAATACTTTCAAAGGTGCTGCTTTGGTAGTAAAATTGGCATACTTAAACGATATTTTTGGTGTGCTCAACGCCCGTTACATTTGAAACTTCGGGGAGAAATAACAGGATGTTTCCATACGTTGAACACACCCAGAGCTCCGGAGGGCAGGCAGGCCGGGAGCAGGGAGAGAGTGGGACGTGGCAGCGGGCGGAGACACGGGGCGGAGACATGGGGCTGGACAGCTGGTGGTGGGGGCGTGGGGAGGGTCCTTCAGGGACCGGGAGGAGCTGCTCTCCGTGGCAGGGAGAGGGGCCAGGAGGACGCCAGCCCCTCCCCCAGCCCTCTGAGATGTGGGTGAAGGGACAGCCAGCGTCCCCGGGAAAAAAAGCAAGGCTGCGTTCGGGGTGGAAAGTGGAAGACGTGTTAGGAGAGAAGGGGCCGGAAGGTGGTCCGAGCAGAGCCCGCAGACCCACCCGTGCCGGGCCTGCGGGGTGGGAGGCCCAGGGGCGGCGTCACACCGTGGCCCTGGGGCCTTGCAGCAGTTGGTTGGGTGGATCAGTCAGGGTTCTCCAGTGAAGCAGAACCTGGATGTGTTTATATAAAGAGGCGTATTGTAAGGAATTGGCTCCTGGGACTGGGGGCTGGCAAGTCTGAAACCCGTAGGGCTGGCCAGCCGCCGGGAGCTCAACAGCAGTTTGCCGAATTCCTCCTTCCCCCTGAAACCTCAGCTTCGCTCGTCAGGCCCGCGCGGGGTTGGAGGAGGCCCGCCGCCGCCGCGGAGGGTGGTGGCCTCCATTTAAAGTCAGGCGATTGCAGATCTTAACCACTTCCACGAAATTCCTTCCGAGCAACCCCCCGCCTGGTGTTAGGTTACATGGCTGGCTCCAGAGGCCGGACAAGTCGACACATGACACTCGCTATCACAGGGGCAAGGTTGACGCACAGGCCAGAGAAGTTTCAAGGCCTGGGGACTGGCCGGGGGCTGGGGGCAGGTTCCCAGCCAGAGCCCTGTCCCCAGTCAGGGAGGGCGAGCCCCAGCGCCAGGCGCCCCCGCCCGCACCCCCGCCCCCGCCCCCGCCCCCGCCTGCTGGTCTCTCTCAGCCCGGGGGCCCCAGCAGGGTCTGCTGCGGCAAGGCGGGTGCTTTGGAGGCGCCTGCCGAGATGGGGGCAGGCACCGCCCTCGGTGGGGGCAGATGTTTCGGAGTCAGGGTGCCGCCGGCCCCTTGAGCTGTGCCAGAGGCTGCGCAGCGTTCCCCTGTTTTGGGGCTGTGCTGGCTTTCCCGGGCCGCCATTTAACAGTGCGGCCGAGCGGGGGGCTTTGCAGTGTCCACTGCCCCGCGCACAGTTCAGGAGGCCAGCACTTGGAGACCGAGGCGACCGCCGCACCGCCCGAGGCCTCGCTCCTGGGCACGTGGGGGCCGCTTTCCCCCTGGGTCGCCCCGTGGTCTGCCCTCGGGGTGTGTCTGCATCCTGTCTCCTCCATTTTAGGGACCACACTTTCACTGTCCCCTCCGAAAGAACCCCCCTCCGAGGCAGCCGCATCCCGAGCACGGGCTGTGGGGCCTCGGCAGGAGAATGTTCGGGGGTGGGGCGCCCGGTCCAGCCCACAGCCTGGCCTCGTCTCGAGTTTTTCGCATCTGGATGGGTGGAATCTGTGTCCCTAATTCGATGCCCCACCAGGGTCTTTGACTTTCCCTCAGGGAGGCTTTGATTCCTGAATTCTAAACAAATCAGACCGCAGCGAGATGGAGCATCTCGGCTTGGCTACGACGTCTGAAACGCCTGGGGCCCCGTTCTCGACAGTTTCCGGTCTTTCTGGGTCGGGCGCCCGGGTTCCCTGCGCAGCTGACCTTTGCTCTCAGTGTCCCGAGCTCGGGTGTGACCTCGCGTTACCATTTACCGCCGCGTTTCAGTCCATCTCTCCGTGGGCTATTTTCAGTCTTCTGGAACGTCTCCCCGGGATTTAGTGTTCTGCAGCGCGGATTCTGATTGGCCTGTGCCCAGTGGTCAGTTCATCTTGTCTTGGGCCGTTTTCTTTTCTTCCCTGCAGTTTTTTTTTTTCCCGAGCATTCCCCTTTTTTCATGGTTGCCTCCCTTTCGTCAGGAGAAACAACCCACTTTCTAAATTCTTCTTCTTTTTTTTTTTTTTCGTAGTAAAATGTCTTTGGGGAATAAACCCTTCCATGCTCCCCTCCCCAGGGTGGGAGCGGGAAGCAGTTTTTGTGCGGCATTTCCCTGTCCCCTTGTCGAGGGGGCTGTTGCTACCCATCACTGTCCTTGCTCCTCTGAGATGCAGCCACAGAGGTGTGACCATGCCCCGGACACCTGAACACCAGCCTGTCCCTGGGCGCCACAGAGGAGGGGGTGGCCCTGCCTCGGCGCCCCTGGACCCGCCGGGGCGCCCACTTGGGGCTGCTGCTCTGTGTCCTCCCTGCTCCAGCAGCGCAGGGCCGCGGCCACCAGCACCGCCCCGGGAGGCCAGCCTCTGTGGCCCAGATGCGGAGAGCCCCCCGCAGAGCAGGGGCATCTTGGGGTCCGGCGGCGGCCGCCCCTCAGCGCTCACTGGGAGTCGGGCTCGGGACGGGGGCACAGGCAGCCTCTGCTGTCCGCGGGCATGGCAGTTAAGCAGCGGGAGTGACACCGGGAAAGGGACTTTATAGCTCAGCGTGGCACCTCCTTGGGTCGTGGCACTTGGAGACAGGCTTCCTGGGGGCAGTGACCCCGAATTCGGTCCCCACGGGTCAGGAGCGACAGCAGGCGTCGGAGCTGGAACACTGCCTGCAGGGGCCGAGGCCCGAGGAAGCCCCACGTGGCCAGGAGTTGCGGCCTGTTCCGGGTCCCCGGGCCAGAGAGGAGCCCAGGGCGCACGGTCCCTCTGTAGTTGATCATGGCAGAGGACGATGCTGTGGCTGTTCCTGACAACGGTTTTCCTCTCTGAAGGTTTCTGCTGGAGAAGAGCAGCACTGAGAGAGGAGGGTCGGCGCCAGTGCCCCTCTCTCCCCAGAACCCACCGCCCGTGTCCCAGACGGGGACTGGTCACAGCGCCGTTGGTCTGGGTGGAGAGGGCACACGCCTTCCTGGGGAGATTCGGACGGAAGGCCGTGTCTTCGCGATGTCTGCCGTGTGGGCAGTCTCCGGGTACCGGTCGTTTGGCCGGGCACTTGGCTGCTGCGTTGCGAGGCAGACGTGGCCCGCAGAGCCCAGGCCACGCTGCGAGCCCGCCCCCGCCCCCCCCCGTCCGCAGGGCAGGGGCCTGGCCGGAGTCAAGTTCGAAATGTTCGCCGACCATTTTGTTTGCATCAGGCATGTGGTTTGTGCCACAGTAAATTAAAAAATGTTAAGAAGACAGGATTCCTGTTTCCTGCTTCTCCCGACCAGGAGCTGGGTGGCGTTTTATGAATAACAGGAAATGGGGCTGCGGGAGCGTGTGGAGTCCACGCCGTGGTTTGGTGCCCCCTGACAACAGAGCTTTGTCCCGAGCTGTGGCCGGAACAGACGACTTTTATGAATAGTCCTCGGAGGACTCCCACGACACACACGTACCCCCGCAGCACGTCTTGGGGATGAGGCCAAATCCGTATTTCCCAAAGAATGACACAGCCCCCGGGGTGGTAGTACGTGCCGTGAGCAAACGGGTCCGGCGGTGGTCCGAGGCGATGCTGGGGACATGGGAGTCCACGGCAGCGGGCTGCTGTCCCCCCACCCCACGGGCCCTGTGACCACACAGGGCGTCTCGCGGGCCTGCGGTCGGTTCCGAGAAGGGCCGGCACCGCAGGAGCAGACGGCCCGAGCGCCCTGCGAGGGAAGTCCCAGGGCTTCCCCTGGCCCTGCCGCTCCGAGCGGCCGTGCGTCGGGCAAGTTGTGTTTGTCATGGCTTCTCACAGTCTGTCTCTGTTCCAGGTGCGACAGTGCTGTAGGTGTAAGCGAAGAAGGCAAGGAGGAGCCGATGGCTTTAGCTGGCTGCCCAGACTCCCTTTTGCACCATCCGTACTATCAGGTATGGGTGAGCGCGGGCATCTGACTCTGGGCCGGTGCTGTGGGTCGAGGGCCACGGCACCAACGGAGTTCGTCACCTTGACCCCTGCTGTTACGAGCAGGTCGCCACGTGCCCAGCCGGGGCTGCGGGCACGTCCCCTGGTGCAGAAGACCAGGCCCGTTCCGTGTGGCCCTCACCGTTTCTCATCGTCACCTCCCCCTAGATTATGACCTCCGTTCCTGTAACGTTTCCGCAGTGACCCGAAGCCGCCTGCGGGGCTGGGGGGTCAGGCGCAGTGCGGTCACCGGGGCCAGCCCTAAACGCCTCCTGGCCTGTGGCAGTGACGGCGCATGTCGGGGTGCTCAAGAGGACATGGGAGCTTACACAAGGGCCAGGTCATGGGCAAGAAGAAGCCTTCTTGGCGGGTGGCTCAGGGCCTTGATGTCACCCGCCTTTTGTAGGTGGGTCCCTCTTCCAGATTGGCCCCTTCCTCCAGCCTGAGAGCGTTGGGGTGGCTTTAGGGGGCCCGCGTGCATCTGTGTCCCTTGGCCCATCGTGCTGGGCCGCTGGGCAGGATTGCTCTCTGCATTTGCTTCACCTCCCGAGGCCAATTTAGCTTGACCTTCCCAGGGCGGTGCAGCGGGCTGCGTGTCATGAGATGGTCCCCGGGACTTTGGGCTTGGTCCCCTCGGTCCTTGGCCGCTGGCGGGCCGTGTCCCCCGCCCCGACCCCTCGGCCTCCACGGTCGGGCGGCAGCCCCCGTGAAACCCCTCCCCCCGCTCTGCCCGTGCCCAGCTGCCCCCGGCCCGGAACTCGCTTCGCCCTCCCTCGGCCGGCCGAGTGTCTGCGGCTGCGGTGACGCGTACTTCCTGGAACATCACCGCTGCAGGCAGACGCCTTTGTAATTTATTTGGTCTCAGAGTGAAACAAACCTTCGAAGAAAGGCTGAAGATTAGGAATACTGTTCATTGTAATCACTGCATTTGACACACAGCCAACATGGGTTTCAAGCCAGAAAAGAGGACTAAAACCTTAGCAGACCCGTGACGTGTGTGGGCGACTCACGGGCCAGTGCAGTGGGTGAGCCCTGCCCGGGGCTCGGCCCTCTGCCTCCTGCGCGATCGGCCCCTTGTTCTTAAAGGGGCCGTGGGCACCCCGCCCTGCTGCTCGACCTAGGCTCTGTGCTGTGCCCATGGGCCCTGGGTCCGTGTCTCACGTGGCCACGGCTCTGTGGCCCGTTGTGTGGTCCCTTGTGCACCCCCCCCGTCCCCCCTGGAAAACCTCCCCCCGGGGAGCCCGTCTGAAAGTTGGTAGTGTCTTCTTCAGCTGGTACAGAGCAGGCCTTCAGGGCAGGGTGACGACAGAGGCCGTCTGTGCCCCCCCCCCCCACCCCGGCGTCTGGTTTCCTGCCGGTCCTCACAGGGATGGCAGAAGCGCCCGCTCACGCCAGCGGCCTCTTGATGGACGCGTCAGCTGTCTGTCACGGCCGCCCCAGTTGCTCCCGGCTGCTCTTCAGGAGACAGGCAGCCGTGGACACATGGTGGCCATTCCCAGAGGGCCGCGGCCGCCAGAGGAAATGCTCGGCCATGCCGGCCCGGGGCTCCTGAAGACACTGCCTTACTCTTGTAAAAACCCCGCAGCTGGACTTGGCAGGGCTCCTCCTCTGTTCCTGGAAAATTAGATGACAGTTCCAGAGTTTCTCAGAAAATGGGATGATTTACAACGAGGTCCAGTCTTGAGCAATCCACACTTAGAGCAGTGAGATTTGCCTCCAAGTTTTTAGAGAGAAGAATTCCTTCTTCAGATCTTCGTCGTACAAACGGTTTTCTGATTCTCGCTGTTCCCTAACGGCCGTGGCCCGGATTAGATACGGGGCTCAGCCAGGGCGCCGTGGCTACGTGTGGTTTTTCATGCACACAGAAGCGCCAGAGCTGGTGTGTGCACGAAATGCCCTGCTTTCTCTCTGGGCGACGAAGCAGAGCCTGGCCCGGGGTTGGGGGCGGCCCAGGGACCAGAGGGCCGGCCACTTCGCCTTTAACCCCAAGGATGTTCCTTTGTGATGTTGCTGCGGGCCTGCGGCCTCGTGGGGGCCGTGGAACTGCCCTGCCCCTTCCTGCCCTGTGGCTGTAAGGGGTTAATGGTGTTCTGCTGCAACCAGATTGGGGGCCATGCCCAGCCTGGGGCCAGCCACACTGCCGGGCCTGACCCACGTTGTCCCCTCTTGTTCCTCAGCCACTGAGTGAGCACCGCCAGGTGCCAGGCCTGGCCTCGGGGCCGGGAGGCAGCTCCGCGAGGCCCACGGATTCCTGGGGCTCATGTGTCCCGGAAAGGGAGGCCAGCCTGGACAACTGGCGGATGCGATCACGGGAATAAGGGTCCTAATTCTGAAGCCAATAAAACGGGGCCGCGGGGGAGAGGGGCCGGCTCAGGCCAGGAGGTCGGGAGGCCTCCCCGGGGGAGTGCCCGGAGCCGGGTGGGGCCCGGGCAGGACCGGGCAGGGCTCCGCGCAGGGCCCGGGAGGAGAGGCCCAGCCTGCCTGGCCTGGGAGGGGTTTGGGTCTTAGTCAAGTAGAAATGAGAGATCTTTGAGGGGGAGGGGAGTTATAAATAGAGGCCTACAGCCGTTGTCTGCAATTTTAAAATCCGAAAGGCTCAGGCCTGAGCGGTTTTTTCCATTGCTCACGTCAGGGCAGAGTCCAACTCGACTGCCCAGAGCCGGCCCCGGCGGGCGGGAGGCCTGGGCGCCGGGACCCTGCCTTATCTTCCTCCAGCCCAAGACGCTCTTAGCTCCCAACCACAGGGAGCCTCCAGGGTTGTGAAGAAGGGATTAGGCGTGCCTGTTACCAGAGCTGTGGTGAAGAAAAGCCACATTCATTATCCCTCAGAAAAATGCAAAAACTGGAAAATAAAACGAGTTCAGGTCCAAGTGATCTGAACAAAATGTCGAACTCTGCTTTAGCAACGAGGCCCGTGTGTGTAAATTTTATCTAGGTCAGGAGGAGGACTGTTGCCTTTCCAAATATTTATTTCAAAAATTTATCTTTACTTTTCTAATTCTTTCCCCCCCGCCCCCGGATTTCTGAATTGGAAACATACATGCTGCTCGTAGGCGTGAACCCCCCTAGAAGCCGCCCTTGGGGCCCTGAGCTCCAGAGGCTCGGCGCCGGGGGGGCGGGGGTCGGGGGCAGAGCCTCCCCGTGGGACGGAGCCTTATCTCCCCCGTCCCTTTGTGGAGGAATTTCATAAATTCTGCCCCAGCCCTAGGGGTCCGCACGTTGTTGCTTTTGGCTCTGTTTCAGATCTGGATCCCCGGGCCTGCGGGCCAGGGATTGGCTCGTCCAGGGCAGGAGTTGCCACAGCACCACCCGTGTGCCCGGTCGGGCCCCCTGCCTGCTTTTGTAAATAAAGTTTTATTGGAACGCAGCCATGCTCGTTCCTTGACGCCTCTGGCTGCTGCGGGGCCACATCAGCGCCGTCCTGGGGAGTCTAACCCCTCACAGGGGAAGGTTTCCAACTGCTGTTTTCCAGCACCGATGGCTCGAGCACATCCCTGGGTGGACAGAGGCCAGCACGACCTCCCTCTGTCAGCTCGCCTCCTGCGCGGAGGAGGGGACAGGCTCACAGTCCTCAGAGGAGACTTGGCTTGCTGATTACATGCAGCTGTGGGTTTTGTGCTGGGAGCCCCGACATCTGGACCCCTCCCACTTTTTGGCAGTGTCCGCAGGAGCTGGACGGTGACATCATCCCTTCGAGGCGATTTGGGATCAGTCTGTGGAAATGAGTACCATTCCCCAAGCCTCTCCCTGGGGTTTCTCTCTCTCTCTCTCTCTCTCTGTTGTATTCTCTTTTCTGGGGTTTTTTCCTTTTTCCAGAGGTCGTTCTTTCATTTTTTTTTTTTAATCCTCACTCGAGGATTTGTTTATTGATTTGAGAGAGAGAGGAAGGGAGAGGTGACAGAAAGAAAGGGGGGGAAGCGAGAGAGAGAGAAAAACACCCATCAAGTCGCCTTCCGTGTGCGCCCCAACCAGGGATCGAACCCACACCCTTTTGCTGTATGGCCGGCGCTCCAACTGGCTGAGCCACCGGGCCAGGAATGGAGTTCTTCTCATTTTTAACCTCACACACCCATAATCTGGCAAAGGGACATTTTCCCCGGACTACGTTTCCTTCAAGAAACCTGTAGACAGTCGCTCTGCTTGTCGCTGTCCTTACCCCGGTGCGGGGAGGACACCCCCGTCAGTGGAAACGTCCCCTGTTTCTATGAAACTGATAAAGCGCTTACCTGAAGTGGTTTTGCAGACGCTTTCAGATGGCGATTCTGAACGCAACGGCCACGGCCTCACAGGGGCACCCTGCGAGGCAAGGTAGGCGGTTCGCCCCGCGGGTGAAGGCCTCCCGGCGGCCGGGGCGAGGGCCGTGACGTTACATTCGCACGAGTGGGTGGTTGAGCCTCTGTTCCCACTCCTGCCCGCCAGGGAGCGGGCTCCTGGGGACGGGCGGACGGACGGACGGAGCGGCCGTGGGAGCTGAGGACGCCACGTCGGGGGGCCACTGCCCACCCGGTCCTCCGCCTGCGGCGTTCCTGCCTGTCGGGCCCCCGGGCCTCCCTCTCAGCCTGTCCGTGGGCCGTCACGGCGCTGCTCCCGCGCCCGGTTGGGGGTCAGCGGTGACGGACGAGGAAGGGCCATGCCAAGGGCCCGGGGCCGATGTGCCTTGTGAACAGGACCCGCCCCATGTCATAAGAGTGTGCGCGCGCTCTGTTCAGCGTGTGTGCGGGCGCGTCCGTGGGGCCGGGCGACAGGGCCTTTAGGGCAGTGCTCCCCGAGTCAGACGCGTCGAGGGAAGGCGACACCTGGGACCCCTGGCCCCGGGCCTGTCCCCTGCGGCCCCAGAGAGCAGCTGCCGGGAGGTGAGACCCAGGGACCCCAGGTGGGGGCCTCTTTTGTGAGGAAGCCTGAAAAATCCGAAGTGGCCTCTGTCCCCTGCATCGTGACCATCCCGCAGACGTGTGGAGACCCCAAG